AATAAAGCAGATTGGAATTTATATCAAGAAGTTGCGAATTTCCACTACGTGTACAGTTCGTTCAGAGAGGTCGTTCAACAGTCTCTGACGAATGAAAACATGTTTGCGGAGTACAATGGTCGAAGATCGCCTTAATGGGTTAGCTCTAATAAACATTCATCACAAACAAATATTACCGAAAAAGGAAGAGTTTGTAGAGGGAGTTTCACAAGAATTTACAATTGATCCGCGTAAATTGTTGTTTAAATAATCGTTCTCAAGAACAGGCAATTTATCTTGCCTCACAAATCGAAGGCATATCCAGGAGGAAATAAACTTGTTAAATTTGCATCACGTTTTTGTAAAAAGCCTTAATTAAGTTTTTAAATATTTAAATTATCATAGTTTGCTTCATTTTTGTATGAAGGCGTTGAGTGTTAATTTTGGTTATAAAAACGTTATTTTTAAAACTTTTCTGAGAGAAAAGTTTTAAAAATAACTCTCCCCTCTCAGTTAAGACTATCAATTCACGTCTATATTTATTATTGCTTATCTAACCAATTTTTTATTTCTCAAATTTGCCACCCCTCCTAGTTTTGTTCCTGCCGACGTCCATGAACACCTTACAGTTATGTCTGTGGTTATGTCACTAAATACATGCCGACTTTTTTACGAAATTTTGGAAAGCTAATATAAAATGAGAATTATATTAAAAAGAAGAAATATATTTTAAAAATAATTCAGAAAAATGTAACCTTCCTACAGATTTCATTTATCTAGACGACACCCAAAGGTCATTAAATGCTCCACCTATTTAATTTTAAATGAATCAGTTTACTAGAGGAGGTTCTTACCTGACCAATTACTTTCTCATATTGCCGTAACTACTTCCTATTGGGCATTGTCAATTAATTGTACCCAAGTATGTGATTCATCATAATTTGAACGTTCAATGAATGTTTTGTAGGTTGGACGTAAAAAAATACTGCTTTTTATGATTTGTCATTAATATATCTGTGTCTAAATTTATTAAGTGTTTAGGAATGTGTGCTTTTAATTGGTTTCTAAAATTAAAAAAGCATAATTATGAATAAAAATTATTGTGTGTGCTTTAATATCTCATATCTACCTAAATTTTTTTCTAGAAGCGTTCTGAAATGCTTTTAAAAGCGTTTTTTGTGCGATTAAACCACAGTAATTGATTGTAATGAGAGCTGAAAAGGTTGTCAAACTGCTTGAGGCATTTCTAAATTAAATATTATACAGGGTATTTCAAAAAGGTATGTCATAAATTAAATCACGTATTCCGGGGACAAAAATAAATTAATTGAATAAAACTTACCTTAGTACAAATGTGTAAACAAAGAAAATTACAGCCCTTTGGAGTTACAAAATAAAAATTGTTTTTTTTTACATTATCTCCTAAACTACTTGACATTTTGTAATAAAAATGGACACGTTAGTTTCTTGTTCTAAAAGCATTTTAAGTACGTTCAAATCAAATGAATTTTGCGGCATCATTAGTTTAACACATTATTTTTATCTTATCACTTTTTCGAAAAACTAGTTTTTTCCTAGTGGGCAATAAAATTAGTTTCTATGGATACAATAATTACAAACAGTTCCATCAATAATAGCCAATAAATTGAAGCTATCATTTATTGTGTGAATAAGATTAATATTAAAAATTTTGATTTTAAAAGGAAAAATAAATACTAAAAGGAAATAGTACAGCAGCCGCAAGGCGTTGTGCAGTAAAATACTCCAATCGAAATACACTCGATAGACGATTATTTCTGACCATTGATCGTCGTTTAACGGAAACGGGTACATTCCAACCGCAAGTTGTTGGCAATAGTGGTCGTCCAATAATGGATGCAACTGGTGAAGACATTTTAGAAATCATTAAAGAAGTCCCTGGAATAAGTACAAGGGTAATAGCTGCTTAACTAAATGTTCCTCACGTAATGGTTTGGAGGCGTTTGAAGGATCAGCTGCTTAAACCCTATCACTTAATAACGGTTCAAGAGTTATTGGTTGAAGATTTTCCTAAAAGGATTGGATTTGCGATTGGTTGTTAATGGAAAACACTCGAAATGTTAATTTTATTAGAAATATTTAGTTTACCGACGAGGCTACCTTCAGTAAAATTGGAATAACAAACCATCATAACGAGCACATTTGGGCCACGAAAATCCTCACGTCAAAAAAAAACGACTCATTACCAAAGGATTTTCAAAGTTAATGTTTTGGAAGGAATTGTGGATAACAATCTAAAAGGCCCAGTATTTCTTCAAAACAATTTAAATGATAATAATTATTTGCAGTTCTTGGCAAACGATTTACAAGAGTATTTGGAAGAAGTAAATATTGCAATAAGGTAAAATATGTGGTTTCTACAAGATGGCGCTCCACCGCATTACAGTAATGAAGTTCGGGAATACCTTTGCCGGCAGTATCCTGGTCAGTGGATTGGAAGGGGTCGTGACGAACCTATTTCTTGACCACCCTAGAAGTCCAGATCTTAACCCATGGACTTTTGCTTTTGGGGGTTTATGAAAGAGAAAGTGTATTCTGTAAAAATAGAGGACGAACAACAATTGAGGGTTAGGTCCGCTTGTCATTATGCTAATTTCAGTACTGATTTCAGTGCTAAAAATATTAGTCAGTTGCGCGAGGCGATTTAGTATGAAAAATTGATGTTGGTGTTTGTAACTATCTTGATTTTAATTAGCCTGTAGGCATGCGCTGTACCAATTTTGTATTGACAGTCTAACCTATCTGAAGTTTGTTTTATAGTTTTATGATTAGAGTAAACAAAACAAACAGGAGTTTGTACAATTCCGCCTTTATTTCTTCCAAAGCTTTTACTCTCCCATTCCTATTTTTGTATAATGGTGGTTTTGGCACATATAAACAAGGATTTGCTTTATATAGTTCGATTAAATTTTCTATTTGCTTTTGACTCCACATATTTAAAAACAAAACATAAACATACGTAACATAACCTCAGTTTTAGTTAATATTGGATCATTTTTAGTACAAGAAATTAGAACATGTTCTAATTTTTAGTACTGAATCGGCGCGCGCACCTAATTTGTAGATACAATATTTTTAATGCTAAATTCAGTACTGAATTTAGCATAATGGCAAGCAGACCTTAGAATAATTTAAGTGGCAAATCAATTTCGTCAGAAAAATATGATTTTTAAGCCCATTTGGTTTTGCTTATTAAAACGATACCGAATGTGTATTGAAGAAAATGGGGGTCATTGTGAACATTTATTATATCATATTTATATAGGTTATAGACATTTTTTGTACTTATTAATTCATTTAAACCATTTATTAGTTGCAAGTAATTTTTTAAAGGTTAATGAGAAGGGCCGTAACTCAATAAAAACTGTTTTTTGAAAAAAGTGACGAGGCAAAAAAAATTTAAAAATAGTGTGGTAAACTAATAATGCTACAAAATTCATTTAATTTGAACGTACTCAAAAGTTTGGGGGGATTTAGGGCAGCACACCCCCCTTAAAATTGTTCTGTGCTCTTAGATTTTGTTGTTTCTTTTTTATGAAAAATGCTTTCAGAACAAGAAAGTAACGTGGCCATTTTTATTACTATAAGTAGTTTAGGAGATAATGCAAAAAAACAATTTTTATTTTTCAACTCCAAACTTTTTTTGTGTACACTTTAGTACTAAGGTAAGTTGGATTTAATCAATTTATTTTTTTCTCTGAAATGCGTGATTTAATTTGACATACCTTTTTGAAACACCCTGTTTTTATGTAGGATTAAAAATTGAGGCACAACTGATTGTAACGAAAATTACATTTTTAATTGACTAATGTTTGACGTTTCTATTTCCACTCCGGAAATCGTTTTCGTCGTGACACTTCTAGGTGAACATTAAGCCTGCCTTTTAAATAAAGTGAATCAAATATCAACTTTATGAGCAAATAAGCAATGAAAAAACGGACCAAATAATTTTTCTAATGAATTTGCAAGCAGTTTAAATCCGAAGAGGAAACATTTTATGACCATTTGTAGTCGTAGAAACGAAACGTTTTTTGTTAATTTTTATACTGAGACGAGGAGAATTGGCGGTAACATGATATCGAATCGTGTTTTTCATTATTAATTGTAAAGGAAAGGATAAATGATTATTGATGATATGTTAAGACTGATTAAACATAATATTTAAATGTTTTAGTTGTTTTACCAAAGTGTTCTCTGGTTTTAGGTATCCAAGGGTTTGAACACAGAACTTCGATAAAATTACAGGCGTCTAGTCTCTTCCAAGTGGACTTACCAGTTAAAGGTCATCTTAATACTAGAAAAGTTATAGGTACAATAAATAGAAATCAAATAACCTTGTTAATGGCCGTAATGGATGGTAATCAAATTAGTGATGATTTAAATTATACATTGTGATAGTTTTGTATATTATTTGTTTTTTGTTATTTGTTATTTTTATTCTATAGGTTTATGTTAAATAAAACTATAAATAAAAAAATGTGATATGTAATGTAGTTATTTTATGTTTTGCCTATATCTTAATGTTTACTTACTGATTTAATTTTCTAATAATACCTAACGAAAAGGTTGTCATGATTAATAGATGTAACTAGAGTCAATAATTTCGCAGCAGAGGTGATTGTAGATTAGTACAGTACATTTTTGTATAAATAAGGAGTATAATAACAGTAAAATTCATAAAAAATGAATAATAAAAAATAACGACCAGTGACCAGTTCGATATAATACACACAAGACTATTATTGTTTTGTTAATAAACATGTAATAAAGGGTATTTTTACTATAAAAACTGTCCATGTCGTGACACCATAATGAATAAAGCAATACACACTGTACAATGTACAACACCGTGAAGGCCCTTCCTCCTTTCATTTTTGGATCCACCGATATTGGACATTATTCTCTCTAGCGCATTCGTTCATCTCCCGCAAATGTTCCCCTCAACTGTCACTCTTATAACACTTTAAAATAACACTATTTTTATGTAAACAATTTATTAACATTAACAAAATTTGCTTCTGTAAAAATCAAAAATTTCTTTGTCGATATCTGCTGATCCAGTTAAAGTAACATTATTCATAAACTCCTTAAATTCAGTAGTATCCGTTTCTATAAAATAGATCTCAAGGCCTTTATTTGTATCGTCATTTTTTTCTTGTTCTTTGGATTTATTTTCTTTTGGAGAGTATTCAGACCTTGGTGAAGGACTTACAGGCAAGGGAGTTGCAGATTTACTTCTCTCGGATAAATTATCGTAAGTACATTCCATGTTACTAGGTGGTTCTAAAAAACAAAATAATGTAGATGAGTCAAAAACGTAATCGGTCTCGATATAATCATTATCATACGGGTATATTGTGGTATTGGGCTTCTACCGCTCTGGTCAAACTTGGGTTCAGATTAACATTTTTCACCAAAAAAAGACAGATATTACTTTTCACTTTTAATACAAAACTTCTAACATGTTTACAATTAAGATAGCTCCCTACGTGCGACTTACATAATCAATGATCAGTAAATTGTTCTCTATTCCCCGTTGATTAAAAATAAAATGCTTTTAAACATGCATCTCCAAGGCCCGTTTACACTAAAACAATATTTAGCTTTGAATATAGCTTTAGCAACAAATTCATTGAATATTCTTATAAGTCTACCGCTTGTCTACTATCGTTTATTGTTCCGTTAAAATATCCAACCTACTCTTTGCCTAACTTGCGGTTAGTCTGTTTGTCTGCAAAATTCGAAAGATAATTGCGCAAACGAAGCGCTGTCCCATTCTGGAATATCTTAATAGATCACAAGCAAAAAATAACTGTACCCCTCCTTGAAAATTTCTTTCTATAAAAGAGATATTTCTTTTCCCAATGAACAGTACGATATAGTCGATGGAGATATGTTTCCAGACCGCTGGCAGAAGATAGGTATGGTATTTCTTACTTTTTATTTTTGCTTTCTCTTCGCCTATTTTTGACTTTGTATTTTCTTATATTTAATTAGGTCTCAAGTATGATCCGATATAAGTATGTTTCTGAAGTATGTTTCAGTATTTTCCAGTTTGGGTCTTCGGTTTTACAGCTGAGATCTTGCCATGAGTTCACTCTGATGAAGACATGAGTCAGAAATATGCATATCAGCGAATGGTGGTACGCTGTAACGAAATCAAACCTAAACCGTTTATTTTATTATTATTATTTTACTCGAGTATGGGTAGAGTATATAGTAAATCCCCCGGGTTCGACTTCAAGATGTTATTCATAAAGTAGCGACATGGAACGTCAATAGTTTGTGCATCACAGGAAAGTTACATAACCTGCTCAAAGAAATGCGCCACCTAGAAGTGAAAACGATGGGTGTAAGTGAATTGAGGTGGTCTGGGTCAGGTATTTCTCACAAAGACAACTTTACAGTGTACTATTCCGGTAGCGACGCTACAGATAATTACCACAGACATGAAGTTGCGATAGTGCTTGATTATAGAATTGCGATGCCTGTTATAGATTATGTTATTCTCAAGTAAAATAAAAAGAAACCAACGTAAAAAGAAATCCAACGTACGATAAGAGCAAGAATTAAAAACGCAAAGGAAAGCTGGATGAAAGAATGTTGTGAAGACTTGGAATCACTATAGGAAAAGGGAGACAGCTTTGGACTACATAAAACGGTCAAAGAAATTTCAAGTATATACAAGAAACAGCATGAGACTCGCCGGAAGAATGGTTAAGAAAACTGCGTTCATACCCAGGAAAAACTAGCTAAAATCTGAGCAAGCTATGCTTCGTCTCCCTTTGCGGATAGGAGACCGAATCTGTTAACTACTTACTTACCCACGGAAAATTTATCCGGTCTTCCCATTATTCGTGCCGAGGTGAAGTACGCTATAAAAGTAACAGAACTAGGCAAGGCCCCTGGACCGGATGGAATTACTACGGAAGCCATAAAACTGTTGGAAGATGATAACATCGACATGCTGGTAACAATTTTCAATGCCTTATATAACACCAGCCACATTCCAACGGATTGACTTTACTCAACCTTTATAATGATCCTTAAATCACAAAGAGCGACAAAATGCAAAGACCACAGACTGATAAGTTTAAGGAGCCATTTGATTAAGGTGTTTCTTCGCATCCTTCACACAAGAATGTTCATAAAGCTGGAAGATCGAAGTGGTGAGACACAATTTGGTTTCAAGAGCGGACTGGGCACACGTAAAGCAGCTTTCTGCTTGGATACGCTTGTACAAAACTACATGGATTAACGAAAGGATATAGTCATAACATTCCTCGATTATGAAAAAGCGTTTAATACCGTCAAACATGACGCAATGATAAAAAAGGTACACATACAAAGATATAAGAGTTATCCAGAATCTCTATTGGAAGCAAAAATCATGAGTGATACTAAACAAACCAACCAACACAGAAGAATTTGAAATTTTAAGAGGGGTGCGACAAGGATGTATTTTGTCTCCTATGCTCTTCAATCTCTATGTGGAGAACATTTTTGCAGAGGCACTGGAAGGCTATGAGTGTGGAATAAAGGTAAACGGGTTCCCGATAAATAACATTCGTTACGCCGACGACACCGCGATAATAACAGACAACGAACATGATATCCAGTTGACGTTAAATAAAATAAACGCCGTAGGAAAAATATATAGCTTAAAGATAAATGCTGGAAAAATTAAATGCATGGCAATTAAAAAAAAACGCACTTATAAGAATACAACTGCAAGTAGGTAATGCTCCAATCGATCAAGTGGAAACATTTAAATACTTGGAAATAACGATGAATGACCAATGGGATCCGCAACAAGAAATAAAATGCCGTATCGAATAAGCAAGACAAGCTTTTGTCAAATTTAAACCACTACTATCTATCCGCACTCTTCCCTTCAATCTCCGCTAGAGGATGGTTAAATGCTATGTATGGTCCATATTGTTATACGGCATGGAAACATGGACGTTAAGAGTACATTATATTAATAAGTTGGAGGTTTTCGAAATGTAAACGTTGCAAAGAATGTTCCGGACAAATAGGGAAAGAAACGAGCAAGTTTTAAGAAAGGTAAATTCTGAGAGAGAATTACTCAATTTGATCAAGGTACGAAAAATTGGAAACCTCAGTCTAATTCTGAGAGGAAAAAAATACGCAATCCCTCAACTAATCATCCAGGGAAAGCTTGAAGGCAAGAGAGGAGTAGTTCGCAAACAAAGGTCGTGGCTACTGAACTTAAAGAACTGGACAGGCATAAATAACACTTACGATCTTTTGCATGCCGCAAAAGACAGACGTCTGGCTTTAAGATAATTTGCCAACGCACTATAGGCAAGAAGAAGAACTAGTATGGAGGATAAGAAAATCGTTTTCATGAAGGGATTTCTATCTAGACGAATTGGCATGACGTGAATACGATTATAAATCCCCATGCTAGTGCATTCGTCGATTGCTTGCTTTACAACGTTTTGAAAGCACATATTTAGGATAAATCCTGAATTAGATGTTTACTGCCAGAGCGGCCAACCACAGTAAAGATTATCACTCTAGCCGGCCAATGACAAACCGTTTTATTAATTACATTTTTATTGGTCTTCTGACGGAAGATCGCTGCGGAGTTGCAATCAAGAAATGCATAAAAAGGCAGCGAAACCTCCGATCGGGATCAAGTAGGTCTAGATAGACCTCGTTGGCCGAGTGCCTTCTGCGTTTGATTATTACCTAAGTGAACATTTCGTCGATTTAAGAAGACTTCGCTTCGAAGACGATTCCAAAAACTCTTTAGTATTTGAATAAACACGAAGCCTTATTATTATTATTCAAGCAAGCAAGAAGTATGGGAAACGGCGTTTGTTAACGGTTGGTCTATCTGTTGTCGAGGTAAAGAAAAGTCCAGCAACGGACTTATAATTACCTCACGGAAACCAGCTAACAGTTCGGAGAGAACGCTCCCTGGTCAGAAAGACATCAATCTTTGAAATAGGGAAAGACAGGTTGCCTTAAAGCTATTTCAGATCGTGTCAAACTGGCACAGCGTTCCAAACTAATTATTCATGTAAAATAAATATATACGTACTATTCACGTAAGAAATTTCGAACTGTTAAAGTATTTTGCATTGCCGGTGGCCCCTTGCTGACCTCTGAGCCTCCCGTGAGCTTCTCGCCGAGTGGGAGTCAAGAACACATAACTCCACGAGCAAGAGGATGGAGGCGAAAACCCTTCGCTCCTCCTCCAAAGCGGCGGTCGGAACTCATCAAGAATCTCCAAATACTTCAAAGAATGAACCAACCCTACGACATGTTATATATACAAGGAGCCCCGAGTTATTAATAAACTTGATAAACAAAGAGTAAAATGATAAATAAAGAAATGCTGCCTTTTCAATATTACACGTCCTATTAAACGAATTTTTATAATCATCACTATCAATTTTAAAAAGTATAAAAATTATTACATTATACTTACGAATACATAAACCGGAGTCCTTCGGATAAAATCCACTTTTTTTGTTTTCGGCTGAAGTCATGGTATAACCAGATTCCTTAGTAGCCACAAGATCTTCAGGTAATATATAAGAATTATTGCCCAGATGCAAATTATCTTCTCTCTGGCCACCATAGTAAGGTCTAATTTGACTAAAATTAATTATAGGGTATGTAACAAGATCATTACAACCTACTGGACGTCTTGAATCCGGAGTAGCTATATTGGATTGGGAGGGTTCGCCGTAATGGATACTTTTATTATTTTTATGCATTCTCACATTATTTGTGTTTTGTAGTATACTAGCACCATAATTGTTACTGACATATCTATCTGTAGATTCGGTTAAAGAAGGAATATTTGTGCTTTTTTTGCTTGATCTTAATATATCAGGTACATTAGGTTCTTGCTGTGTATAATGTAAATCTTGCTTTGTAGGATGTGATTCTTGCTTTGTATAATGTGAAGTATCCTCGGGACGCATATTAGTATTTTGTACTGGACCAAAATGTACTTGTTTTATCGATTTTGGTCCATTTATAAGTATTTGATCATTATCACGAGCTTTCACAACTTGGTTTGAATGGTTTCCTTCTAAAGGATAATGTGTTATAGCTAAAGGCATTTTTTTATATTCGTTTAAATCGAAAGTCGCCGGTGTAAAAAGAGATGAACAATAATCTTTTTTCCACTCTTGAAATTGGGATTGCGACATTCCTTCAGATTGTGACGTTCCTTCAGCTTTCTTAAGATCACATTGAAGGCGAAACGTTTCGCTTTGTAAAAGCCTTAAATGATCTAGGGCTGCCTTATATAAAGTTTGCTGATTTTCTAACTCTATAAGAAGCTGGTTCTTCTCAGTTACACTCAATACACCATCTAGTTTTTGTTTAATATTACTGATTTTTCTTTGAGATACCTCAATGTCTTTTGCGCACTTCTTTGCCACATTCAACCGTTCTTCTAATTCTCTTTTGTAATAGTTAAGAGTTTCTGACACTTCTGGATTGGATGTATATATTTCATATAGACGTTTTTCTTCATATGTATTGGGACGTTTAGAAAATTGATTAGGAGGTTTATGTACGACTCCAAAGTAATCACTTTTATTCGGGGTTGAATTAAGTAAGTCTATTGGTTTATATTTTAACGGAGCTGGATTTTCTGGAATACGGTCGATGAGTTTTTTTAAGTTTGCTGTTTATAAATTAAGGAAAATTAAACATAAATGCACTAGAATTCTATTACAAATTTAATTTAATAATGAAAGTATGCGAATATCTGTAACAGGTAATTAGTAATTACCGTAAAATGGGGTGAAATTGATAGTTGCGAATAATTCTGAGTATTTTAATTTTCCCTGAAATTTAAGAATGTTAACAAACGGTTAAGGTAAGTATATTTTTTTATGGAAAAAAGCTTGTTTTAATTATGGCTATATTTTTGATACGTTTCTTTAGCTTCCTAACTTTCCGGTGCTTGAGAAAAACTACAAAAAATGTGCGATTTTTACTAATTATCTTAATAGTTACATGTTTTCTGGTCAAGATATCATAATTTACGCGGAAAATTTTAAAAATTGACAATGGGGCTAATTTAAACAGGTTTGAGAGGCGAAATTGATCTCCACCGGGGGCGGATGACAACATTTTTCTGAAGAAATCTTAAATTAGTGCTTTTTTCAGAAAAAATGTTTCGAAATTATATAAGAAAACTTGGTGCTCCTGCCTTTAAAGACTATGTCGAATTAAGGGTGGAAAATGCCCTTCAGAAAGTTCTTGAGGAAGGATGGTCCTTACGTCGCGCTGCCGTAAGACTATAAAATTCCCTATGGAACCCTTAATAACCGCTATAATGGCCGACATGGAAGAAAAAATGGTGGCAGACTGTATTTTCCGTGAACGAAGAAAAAACCATTATACAGCGTGCTGCAATATGCGGCGAGTGGGGATTTTCCCTTGACTTGCGAGATATAAAATATTTAGCCAAAAGTGTTTTGGATGCCCAGGGTCGACAAGTGCTCTTTTCAAAAATAGTTTACCTGTAACTAACCGGGTGTATTCATTACTGAGACGGCCTAAAGGAGAAATTGGAGAAAAAAGGAGAAAGGAACAAAATCGACTATTTCTTAACAAACAAAAAAGAATTATTAAAGACGTAAATGTGCTAAACCAGTTCAGTACAAGCAGTGATCATAGGTTAGTAAGAGCTAAAATAACGATATTAACCGAAAAAGAAAGACTCAAAATGATAAATAAGAAACAACCAAAGGAAATGGACAAAACCAAACTAACATTCAGGAGTTCGACAAATATATTGGGAATTCATTGAAAAGATACAACAACAGCTGACATCAATATATTGAACAAACAAATAGTCCACACACAATGCAACAGGCTCAAACTAAATATTGTCCGACAAGCAAAAAAGATGAAAAACTGAGTCAACCCACGAAAACCCTTATAGAACTAAGGCGACAAATGAAAGGAGATAACACTGCAAGCAAAGAAGCGATAAATCAAATAAATAAGACGATCACAAAGGCAATAAGAAAAGACATAAGAAACTACAATTGTAGAAAAAACAAAACAGGCAATAGAGAAAAATAAGAACATGAAAGTTTTGAAGAGGAGCGTACAAAAGGGGAAAATAGAAATTAACAAAACTGAGAAACAGAACTGGAGAAGAAACAACAAACAGAGATGAAATATTAAGAATAGTCGAAGAATTCTACACAGAGTTATATAGATCAAGAAAAAAAGATAACAATACGGAACCTCCAATTACACTAAAAACTGGGGTATTAAACCAAGGATCAGATTTAATGCCCAATATAACAAAATCAGAAATCAAAGAAGCCCTGAAGAACATGAAAAATAATCGAACCCCGGGTGAAGATGGAGTAGTATTAGAAGCACTAAAAATTGGAGGGGATGTATTACTTGAAAAAATTAACACAACTTTTCAATATCTGCCTTCACAGCGCCAATATTCCAACAGACTGGAACAACGCTACTATGATTCTATTACACAAAGCAGGAGACAAAGCAAATTTAGAGAATTTAGAGAACAGGCTGGATTCCGAAAAAGTTTACGGAACATATGACCATCTACAAACTATAAAAACCCTAATAGAGAAAGCAGTGGAATACAATAAAACTATAGTTCTAATATTTATCGATTTTCACAAAGCCTTTGACAACAGTTGAGCTAAGCAAAATATTACAGGCGCTTAAAGAATGCAGGCTAGATTATAGATATACTAAATTATTATACAATATATACCTGCAGGCAACAGCCACTGTCAAATTACATACTAACAGTAATCGCATAAAAATAGAACAGGGGGTTAGACAAGGAGACCCAATGTCACCTAAACTTTTTAATACGGTACTAGAACATGCTTTTATGAATTTGGATTGGATGACAAAGGGAATAAAAATAGACGGAGAATATCTAAACAACTTACGTTTTCGCCGATGATATTCTTATAATAGCTGAAGATCTAGGTATGGCAAGAGAGATGGTACAGGAACTCGTTGTGGCTACAGAAAATGTAGGTTTAAATATAAATATCTCGAAAATAAAAATCATGACCAATTTGGTGCCCAACCAGAACATCAATATTGGTGGGAAAGAAAAGAACTCGTAGATAGATATAAATACCTGAGACATGAAATTATGATTGTCAGAGATAACCAGACTCATGAACTGAAGAGAAGAGTTGGCCTTGGGTGGTCAGCATTTGGAAAACTGAGAGAAACTTTTAAAAGTGAGCTGCCCACATGCCTAAAGAGAAAGGTATTTGATCAGTGCCTCCTCCCAGTCTTGACGTACGAAGCAGAAACACTTACCTTAACAAAAGCAGCAGCTACCAAACTGAGATTCACGCAGAGAAGAATGAAGCGGTCCATGTTAGGAATAACTCTACGAGACAGAATAACAAACGAAGACATCAGGAGAAGAACCGGAGTGACTGACATCATCGAGAAGATAGCCAGACTAAAATGGAGATAGGCAGGACACATAGCCAGAATGACAGATGGGCGATGGACAAAGAGGTTATTGAAATGAGGGAAGACAAGAGAAGCGTCGGTCGACCACCTACAAGATGGACTGACGACTTAAGAAGACTCAATAAAAACTGGATAAGAGCGGCGCAAGATAGACGGGGTTGGAAACATGAGGAAAAGGTTTATGTTCAGCAGTGGACTCTTGAAGCTGGATGATGATGAAAGGAGAAATTACCCTAGAGATTTACGTCCAATATTAAAAGACCTATAAGAGCTAATATTTCCAAACAAGAGCTAATCTTTCAAAAGAAACTTCAGTTGCCTACTTCGAGAATCTGCATAGAAAATTAGAAAATATTCCACTTGAATAACGTATTCAATTACAACGAGACCAATGTACAAGATAATCCCGGAAATAAGAACATGGTATTTCAACGCGACACCGAATATCCCGAACGACTATAATGATGTATGCTTCGGCTAACTATATATGGTGATAAGATTGCTACAATCAAAAAATTGTTACAATGGACTGAAAATGGTCCAAAAAAAATCACCTTACTGTAGTAAGAGATGCGGCTCTGTATGTTCTCGATATAATAGGGCCCATCATGGATGGATAGATTCACAGACATTTACGAATTGGTTTACTTTGACCTTTTTACCACATGCAAAACATCTTGGAGATAACCATGATTATAACCAAACATATAAAGTACGCTTTATATGTTTGGTCAAAAACTCAACACATTTAACCCAACCATTTGATGTTGGTTTTTTCCGTCTCTTTCAGATGAATTGAAGGGAAACTTTTTATTGATTAAAAAAAATTGTCACCCCATATTAAACACACTACATAAGAAAGATTTTCCAAACTTGTTAAACACTACCCTTCAGCACACATCTAAGATACGGGAAGAGAAAGAACAGAAATAATAAAAATAAAAAATGTAGTAACACAAGATGATGCGCTCTCAACGGTTCTATTTATCTTATCACTAGACATGATAATAAAAAGTTGTCAAACGCAGGCACTATAAAAAAGAATGCAGTACAAATATAATAGGATATGCGGACTATATAATCGTAGTAGCAACAGATACGAAGTAATTAAAGAAAACTTTAGAAATAGAAAGAAATAGAAAACGAAGAAAAACTGAGAGGACTGGAATTAAATGAAAATAAAACAAAATACATAAACGTAAGCAAGAAAAATGAAGACACAACTGACAATAGATGCCCACAGTTTTCGAAGAGGTTGAAACATTCAAATATTTGGGCGTAAATGGTTTTAGAGAGAGGATAAGACCAATAATAGTATATGCTGCAGAAATATTTGCATTAACAGCAGAAGAAAAAGAACAATTGAAAATTTTTGAGAGAAAGATTATCAGAAAAATACTGGGATAAAACAGGGAAATCGAATGCGAATTAGTTCATCTCAGTTTCTGCCAGACTATGAACAAATTTTAGAGAATATTTTTATTTTATGTGGCCCTCACAATAAAAAGGTCGGTGGTAGATGTACTCATATGAAATTAGCAGCTAAACCATAAAAATAGAAATAATCTTATGAATTGATAACTATTTACTGACTATTTCTGTAAGAATTTTAAACAAAAATATGCTCAGAAAAATATAGTCTCTTTAATAAATATGTTAAATTGCTTTAAAGGATACCAATTTCCAGTTCTTTTTTATTTAACTCTTCACTTAACACAGATATCTCCGAATTCCTTTTAACTAAAGATTTTTCGAGATCTACACATTCTTTTTTCTTATTTTCAACTTCTTTTTTCAGTAAACTAAAACAGAATTGAACTTCTGTCATATCTGGTTCGATATTAATGGCGCCTTTGTTGGATCCAATAAAAGATTTAATCTTCGCTACGCAGGCGTCCATTCTCTGTTTACTCAAAAATTTACTATCCTAAAAGGTAAGGTTGCTTTTATTTTATTTGACTATGAACTACAGAGAAAATATATTACTTATAACAGGAAAACAGTAACTAAATTGCTAAATGTTAGACCCCAAAGTCCAACAGAAGTGTGAATTTCAAAACTTGGTGGCATCATAAAGTTGCGAATTAAAATTGAGCGATGAATCTGATCGAGCTTCTCGTAGCTAGATAATGTGATGCATTCCCATTGAATGACATGACAATAGAAAATACTATACAGCCGTCACTAAGCTCAAAAATAAAGTAAGAAATTCTATTCTAATTAATGTGATTTGCTTACAATAAATCCCATTGGCGTAGAAAGCCGTTTTTCCAAGTCGTCAATTTTAAGCTTCAAGAAGGCTATTTTCGCGTTGAGGATCCAAAACATTTATAACTGGATCTGTTGATATCATAGAAACTCTTTGAGCAAATCGGCAGGTACTTATTGTTTCCTATAAAAAAATCTAAATTTACATTTTTCTGAATAAATAAATGGTGCTAAAACATATATTTTAAAATGTCTAGTGAAACTAAACACCATATTTCTTTAAAAATATTATAATCCCAAATGAAACTGTTCACATAAATTAAATAATCTTTACCTCTATATTCACTTTTTTCGCCGATATTGTTGCTAACATACTCGTTATAGACTTGCCATTTAACGAATCTCTTAACATATGAGTTAAAAAACTATTTCTGTATGGAATATGAGTTCTTTTGGATTTAGATAATGCTAATATAACATGCTGCAAATGATGTAAAGATAAATTTATAGATTTAGCTTCTTGAACTCGCGGGCCCTTCGTGTTGGTTTTTGATAATCTTTCTGATCTACAAATATAAAATTATATATTATAAAATGAACATTTTTGTTTCGACATTGTTGGTCTCAAATAGGATTCAAGAAACAAATCGTTTGAAACTCAATAAGGCGTGACTGCGTCATAACACCCAAGGCACTATTGCTATCGTCAATACGAGGAAGGGAAACGGGGTAGCTGTCTTTCTTGGTGACGCTACTTAATCTTCTGTAGTCGACACAGAACCTCATGGAAGCATCTTTTTTTGTGGACACAACACTACTGGAGAAGACCAGGAGAGACTTGATTTCTTAATGACATTTGACAGTGCTTTCAACACGAAATTTCAGGAAATAGAACACCAAGTAGAATTTTCGAGATATTACAGGACCATAATTACAGCCACATAACAATATATTCTATAAATGAGAATTCATAGTAATTGAAACAATTCGAATACTGAGTTGGTAAAACAAGAACAAAAATGTAAAAAAAAATCACTCAGACAAAAAGGAATATTTAAAGTGTGTTTGCTAAAAGAAGAAAGTGTTAAAGTTTATAAAAAACCTAAATAAATATCTGGAATAATAATATACAAAAAGTGATGAAACAACGGATGAAATAATTTGGAAGCACGTATTGAAAATCAGCTTATGAGACTTTTGATAAAAAAAGGATAGCAATGGAATCAATTAAAGATAAACCTACAAAATGATAAAATAAATAAATGGATAGAAAAAGACACGACCATACATAATGACGTGTGTTAACTGAATGAGCACTAGGATAATTTGTGAGGAAACGGATACTAATTTTCAACGAAAAGTCATTTTCGGCGATGAGGCCCCTTTTTGGCTAAATAGGAATATCAACAATCAGAATTGTCGAATTTGGGACGATACCAATCCAGATAAGATCCAAGAGCGTCACTTTTTCCAGTGTTAACACTGTTTGGCGGGAATTTTGGGCTGGCAGCGTCATAGGGTCCATATTTCTTCGAGAATGACAGTTTGTCCGGCTACTCGTATCACCGTCAACGGCGAGCGCTGGAGGTCGATAATTATCAACTTCTTTTGGTCTGAATTGGATGAAATTGACACTAACGACATGTAGTTTCATTGTAGTGATTAAGATCGTTATTACCTAAATAGTAGAGAACTCCCGGTTTTGATTTTTTTTTTTTGGTTCAAGTCTATCGGAGCTCTCGGTCCAGAATTTCAAATTTTATTCGGTTTATTTCCGGTTTATTTTAAAAACAACAAGAATTTAGATCGGAAAGATCATGCACTGACGCTATATTTATAATGAAGCAGGTGCAAGAGAAATCATTAAAATACAACAAACCGGAATGAACTTTACCGGTTAAAAGACCTTATCCACTTACTGTACACAAGGATACGTCTAAGATTGATCAAAACGATCGAAAATATCTACCAAACAACACAATAAAAGTAAAAATAGAGGAAGAACTAACCGACCGTATTCCCTGAGTCCTTTATTGTTCAAAATGATGTTCAAATGAATAAAATAATAAAAAAAGTAAGAACTAAAAAAATGATATTAAATGAAAGAATAATAGTTTGAAATAATCTGCTGTGCAGGCGACGCAATACTACTCCCTCAAAGTGAAGATGATTTACAACGTATGCTGCACCAATTTAATATGAACTGTCAAAAAATGTAACATGTTAATTTCCCCAAAAAAGACAAAATTGATGGTTATTACAGCAAATTGACTAAGGAAATTGAAAGGTCACATAATAGAACAAGTGATGGAGTTTAATTATCTAGGCATCACACATTATCTAGCTACGAAGAGCTCGAAACTGAAGTGAAAGATCAAGTGAATAGAACAAAACAGAGACGTAGGTTGTAGATCAGGAGAAATGGAAAATATCGAAAAAGATGAAAGGCAACAGTTTACATAAAACAGGTCCATCAGACCAATAATCGCATATTGGCGGCCGAAACACGCTGACGCCCTGACACAGAGAGAACAAAAAGGTTGTTCGAAGCACAGCAGAGATGAAAACACTTCGGTAAGAATTAAGAATGGAATGATCCTATAAGCCGAATGACAACAGAGTAGTAAGAACTGGCAATAGACGGTTCTCCAATAGGAAGACGTCAGTATGAAGACCTCTAAAACGATGGAACAACAACTTACGTAGTACACATGAAAAACAGACATGTATACATATAAAAAAAAGAAGAAAGCGAAGAACTTTTTTAATTTCGGTACTTTTCCGCTGCATCCTACCTTGTCAAACATCTAAACACAAAGTAATTTTGTCCAGTAATAACGTAAAAATTATAACAAGTCTGAATTTTATTACCCCGCCAAATCAACAATGTGTAATTTTGATGAACGTAAATTTGAAGAACTGCTTTCACGAAGATTAATATACAGGGTAAATATACAGTGGGACCTTCGGACGAAATTCGTTTTGAGAGCAGTTTGCAGCAATTTTTCCGGTAATAGAAAAATAAATGTAATTAGTTAAAAGCCATTTTTCCAGGCTCTATAATTATCTCTGGATTTATCAGCAAGTTCTTGCTCAATGAACTGTAAGGTAACACAGTTACTAAGTAGATAGAATAATGAATTAGTGATGTTACATGCAATAAACAAAGAATATCGGATAATAAAAACTATTAATTAAAATTATAATTTAAAATAATCATTAGCTATAAACCAATTTTAAACTAATAATAATTGTTTTATATTAACCAAGTTATTATTCATTTAAAAGTCAATCAAATATTTGTGTTTTTAATATCCACATTCCAAAATAAAATAACTAACTTATTAGCTTGTTATTTCCTTCATTCACGTTGCTTCAAGTTTGCAATTTTTAATTAAATCAGTATTCAGTATGTCGCTTAAATCTAAGTTAAAACTAAAATATTATAAATATCTACAGCGACTTTTGTTGTTTATATAGGGCTTTAGAAAAATATTATGTGCAACATATGAGCCTGACGGCTCGTCATGTCAACTTTCCTATTGCTGAGAAAAAAAGTACAATTATATGCACTTGTTGCATAAATTACTATAAATTTAATATTGTCAGATACCTGTTAGTGTCTCCTAAAAACAACAATCGCATAGCTTCTTGTTCTGTGCTGACAGGAAAAACATTTAAATTTCGAATATGCGCATCGCCATTCTTGTCTTCTAAAAGTGAAACTCGCCTACAAGATTTAAACTTAAAAAAAAACTTACTTTACGAGTATTGAGGACAATGTACTAAGCATCTAGAAAAAACTTTAAAACATAAATTAAGACCTTTTACAGGGGACTTTAATGCTACAAAAAAAGGGGTGTCAATAGGTGTATGAGTCAATGTATATGAAATACCATGAAGGGGTAACTTAGAGATCACCAGAAAGTAATTAGACTTTGATAACAATTATAGCAAAAGCAATGAAGCGACTGAAATAAAAATTATGATAAATCAACGAAGTAACTGCGTACTTAATCCAAAGCAAGGGTAAAAAATGGAAAGTCTCAACCCAAAGGATTCCAAATTTTTTAGATTAGATAACTATGTATATCATTCGTAATCGTACCACAACTGGCATATGTGAATGGATTTAAGAAAGACTACGGCTGATCCCCAATTTGGGCGAGGTGCAACACCATTGCTGCCTATAGAAAACATGGCACAGGTAAAAAGTCATAGAAGTTTCCATAGAGCTGGAGAACTCTGAAAGATTATAGCCTTGACACAGAAAAAAAATCAATGCCGTGCTCAGCAGCATTTCGTCTCAACTCGTGAAAACAAAATAAATACAAAGACAAGAAGAGATAGCTCAAAAGAGGATTCAGACTCGTCAGTGTGTGAAAATTAAAATATAAATGAATTGAGTTCTAATGAAAATCGTAGGCTTCCTACGGCCAGAGTCAGAATTATATTTTATTCGATATTCCGGGTTTGAGACCGTGTCATTTGTGAGTGACCCAAAAGTAGGTTCATCTCGACGTTTCGCTACAATTGGTATGTAGCTTCTTCAGGAGAACAAAGAAAAAGAAAACAAAAGACAGGAAGATGGGTAGTTAGCAACGGTAAACTCAGTTACTCAACGCAACCAGAGGCGAATGCTAACTACCAAGATGGGCATTTGGTCACAGTAACTCAACATACTCAACGCAGCCAGAGGTGAAAACCAAATAGCCTGGACAGGATTCACGTCCAACAGCTCAGAACACTAACGCGTCGAGAGGCGGGGAGTGAATCCGACCGATTACTCCGCTACCGCTCTATTTATAGTCGCGGGTGACCTGTCGTGTCGGGACGTATCGGCACACTCCGTGGCGCGAACGTCAAGAAGCGCGCGCTGGCCAATCATGTGGCTGCATCGTGGTAGCGGGACCGGACGGCGGCTCTAGACTGAGATTCCAGATGGGAGACAAGTAGTATCTTCCTCTCGATTGATATTATGTGGATTTTTTCGGATCTCTAGAGATTCGCGGATTTTCTGGTATAAAAGAAGGGGCTCTTAGAAATATATGGGTTTTTTCGAACAATATTGAATGACCGGTTTATCTTGTCAGTGTTTCTGCAACTGCAGAATGGGAGAAAAGACCTGATCGAATGCATCTCTTGATGCTCTTGAATCCGAGTTATTGGACGGAACGACCAGTTTCGTCCAATATACACTATGTCTCACATGAACAGGAAATAGAATAGACACCCACAGGAATAGACACCACCCTCCCTGTGGCTTGTTCTCCGTATATTCGAAAATGCCACTGATTTTAGGCCACTCTGCCCCCCCCCGCACCAAATTCTTCGCATAAGAAGGTATCAGGACTACTTTTCGATCCACCACCTCTCGCTAAAATCTCACAATATCTACCCTCTCCTAAGGACCCATTATCCGCCCCCTATCTTCCTGTAGTGTCTATTCTATTCTTGTTCATGTGTACATGTGTATATTGGCGGAAAAACTGTAATTCTCCCCATCCTGGCATCTCAGTCTAGAGCCGCCGTCCGGTCCCGCTACACACGTTGCTGGCCCACATTATGGCCAGCGCGCGCATTCTTGACGTTCGCGCCACGGAGTGTGCCGATTACGTCCCGACACGACAATCACCGCGACTATAAATACAGCGGTAGCGGTAGTTAATCGTCGGATTCATTCCCGCCTCTCGACGCGTTAGTGTTCTGAGCTGTTGGACGTGAGTCCCTGTCTGGCATTTGGTTTTACCTCTGGCTGCGTTGAGTAGTTGAGTTTCTGTGACCAAATGCCCATCTTGGTAGTTAGTATTCGCCTCTGGTTGCGTTGAGTAACTGAGTTACCGTTGCTAACTACCCATCTTCCTGTCTTTTGTTTTCTTTTTCTTTGTTCCCTGAAGAAGCTACATAAATTGTAGCGAACGTCGAGATGAACCCACTTTTGGGTCTCTCACAAATGACTGTCGGTTCCAAACACGGCAAGACGAAATAACCCTGAATGGGAGTTCTAGCTGTTCAGTTGCGAGTGTGTCTTCATCTCATGGCTCTATGGAACAATGTTTTGTGTTATTTTATGAGTATTTTAGGCTGCTATCTTCCGCCTATCCATTCCTTTATTTTTTTTGGGGGCCTTGGGACCGCCTACAATTGCTACTCTATCCACTCAATATTCACCTTGGCAGGACAGGATGGCGTACCAAAAACAGCAAATGTGAAGGAATTTCTGCAGCGGAGGGAAAGCGATCAGTGGATAGTTAGCACAAAAGAGAGTGGCTGTAGGATCCAGAATTATATCTAGATGCGGCCATTAACCAACATGACGCTAGTATGAACAAAAAGAAAAGCTCGTTAACGTATAGTTTTCTCTAGATTTATATATTATATTTACATAATGTTTATCTTCTAGATAGTCCGACAAATTGTTATATTGAGTATTTGCGCTTCGGAGGATTTTCCCCAGCGTTATAAATTGTTATTTTGAGCCTTTTCTTGACCAATGCATTGACATATATATTTCCCATAATATCTTGATGGTGTTATTAAAATTTGCAATATTCCTAATTTACTTACGGAAGTTCATCTATAGTCTTTGTATTATTTGACTGCCTTTGTACCCAACAAATCATAGCCTATTTCATTATATATCTCCAAATATGAAATATAGATCGTCGGCTTTTGGGAAACCTATAAAACAAAATACTGATTAATATTGCTTTTAAGATACAATTACCACCACATAAGTTAATATAGAATTGCTTGCATTCATTCAAACTCAAAAACATTACGACATATTCATTACACCGGATGTTTAGAATAAAACAATACGTGTCTTATGTTTAACATTAAACCACAATAATATCCTCAAAAGTATTTAATTATAATATAGGGAATCCTATACTTTTGGATGCATGTATGTAGAGAGAGTGTTATTTATATTATAATATTTATTGACTTACTATCGTTTGGAAGTTAAAGAAAAAATGGTGCGTTTCATTTGTGGATCACCCTGGTCTGTGAGTATTCGATTTCGTGATAACAAGAAATGCCTGATTAGGACGTTACCTATTTAGTTGTATGAAAAAGTTCTTTAAGACTATTAGTGTTTGTAAATATATGGATGAGCTACCAATTTTGAACAGTTTGTGTCCCTGCGGGATCTGTCAATATTTAAAAAAAAAGATGAATAACTCAAAAAAATATGAATAATTTGATCGTATGGTACTAGATATGGTACGTCGCCATAACTGTGATGAGTTTATCTGTGAATTTTAGTGCAGAATCATAAAAATATATTCAATAAACAGGGTGTTCTATTTATAATAATCAAAGTTTGCGTGTTCACTTCCGGTTTAACCGGAAGTGTCGATGTGTGGTTAAATAATATCTTTGAAGTTTGTCATAACTTTAAACACAACCCATAAATTAAATTTCTCATAATATCGTGTCGTTGTTGATAGTTTTATATGGACTTACTCCAGATCATTATTGGAAGGTAAGAAGTAGAGTGGCAAAAAGATCAAGTTGGTAAATGAGTTTGACTTCTCATCCGCAGAAAATCTTTCGTAGTTTAGAAGGTTTTTCAAAGCTACAATTGTCAATTTGGATTTATTATCTAAGATAAATATAGCCCGCTGTGACGCTATGTTTTCTGTTACTACATGAGGTCTAATCAAAGCACTAAAAACAATAATCTACCCTGCCATCTGTAATTTTGTGATCTATGTCAAAGTTTTTGATTGTGTACAATCACGACATTTTGATTAAAAAAAAACTAAATTTCTACGGAATATTACGTATTTCTTCTTACTTGAAGAATTGGGAAATAACTTCTTCTTAAAGGTGCCCTCTCCTCAATGGAGGGTTGGCTGACTACAATTTTTAAACTCCTTCTCTATCTTCAGCTGGTCTTATTAGCATGTTCAAAATTTAGCCCTGTGTCCAGTGGTCGGATATTTCTGAGCCACTGATAGTCTTTTCCTTCCTAGGCTCTCTCTTTCCCTCGATTTTTCCTTCATCTCTATTAGTTGGGCATAGCGTTGGTAGACTGTGATTATGATCTACAGTCCGTTATGTGTGCTAGGTATATTGTATTTTCTAACTTTTACTGTGTTTAAAAAGTTGCATCTTTCCGCTTGCCTTTTCTATGCAGCACTTCTTCTCGTTTGAGGTATGCACGATGTCCAGTGAAATTTGTAGTAGTATATCTCCGGTTAAATTCCAACATTTTCAAAGCCTCTCCAATTTTATTTACGGGTGATGTTTAAAGGGTGTGCGCACGTGTCTTGCAACTGCATGAGAGAGGCGAGTGCGTACGACGCGGCGACGTAGGCATTTTGATAAAAACGTAAGTCGAAATGCGAGTTGAGATTATTCGAGAATTCACAATAAGCAGTTTTTTTATTTTTTCGGAAGGATTTTCTGCCTGTTCTATTCTCGGATCTAGTTGTTTTGATCAGGATTTAGGGGCTTGCGGTGGATCGTGATCCAAATCTATCCAGGTACTTAATTTATTTGACTCTGTTCTAAGATCGTGCGCCATGTATGTGCAAGGTTGAGCGCGGAGTTAGATTAGTGACATTTTTTTTTTTTTTTTGGTTGTTTTTTTTTTTTTTCCGGGGATTGACCATCACGTTATGGGTGGTGGATTTTGTTAATGTTTATTTTCATAACCAAAATTGCTCACAGGGTCGAGTTAAGTGCGTTGTCGATGAGTCGTTTGTAGACCTGAGTCGAAATCCGCCATGTAACACTGTATCATCGGGCGTATCTGATACTGTATGTGATGTATTTACGCCATTCACCTTGAGCTCCATCCTTGGAATCCTACCAATGCGTCCGTACATAGGAATCTCGGAGTAAAGATTAAACAGCACAGAGGCGACAGAACGATAACCCTGTCTAACGTCCCAGCTGCTCTTTAGGCGTCTACTTCTGCGGATGTTGGATCCTTCTGAGTCGCCGTATACTCTGGCGTTTTGGTTCCAGTACAAGTTTTTTTCAGAATGTTGATGTCTTTTCCATCTAAAACCGACTTCTTACAAGTACGTTCTAATAGTTAGAGCACATTGATATGACTTCTACTCACAAAAGCTATTGTTTGTGGGAGTACACAAGGATTGTTCAGTATTAGTCCTCTACTTTTTGTTACATATGATATTACTACCTTTAATATTACAACTTTTCATGCAACTATAACATCTGATATCCTTAAAATAAAAACCTGGTCCGACTTTAATTTACTCTCTTTTAACGTGGATAAGACAGTGGCATTATCCTGTAAAGCAGCTCTTCAATCGCTTCTTCTTAATAACAGCCAGATCAGTGTCGTTGATTCTGTAAAATTTTTTGTTTATAGACAGCAACCTTGAACACAATTTAGGTCCTCGGTCTCTTCGTATAGGATTAGGTGTGTCACAGAATGTTTTCTGTAGCCTCACCGGCTTATGCAATATAGATCCTGTTTTGAAGCAAATCAATTCGAGTCTCATCTTCGGCATAGTGGCCTCCTTTTTGGGGTTCTAGTACAGCTGCCCAATCTGATGTTATTTTTAAATTCGAGAAAAAGAGCAATACGGTATCTTTTTGGCTCGCTGAGATAACACATTGCGAAGCTACTTTAAAAATCACGGGATTTTAACTCTTCCTTTTTTATATATTTTAGAAACGGTTTGATTAATTCGTTAATACCACTACATGATTCCAGCAAGACACTAATCATGACTGCTCCACCAGAAATTCAACCTTTGATGTGTATTTACCGATCCTGTCCACTGAGTAAAGTGAAAGAAAGCTAGTTGTTAATATTTGGCCAAAATGTGTACAACCCGTTTTCAAGCTCTTACCATAGTCTTACAACTTTCTCCTTAAGTTTCTGTAAAGTAAAAAGTGACACAAGCCTATTCTATTCTGAATAGGACCATATCTACTCTAGTAAAAGAGTTTCTTAACGAAGATAATTAAGAAACATAACAGTAAAACGTGATTAGGTCGTTAGACCCATGTGTAATGGTGGCAAAGATTTGCAATGTAGTTATATTTTGCAAATGGATTTGTGATATTTTATGTAACTTTTATTTTTGTGATTGTAGACGCTTTATGTAAGTTTAAGTAAATTCTTATAATTCGTCTAGGTGCTTTTTTTGTGACTGTTTCGTAAGGCTTGTCGAATAAAGGATTGTATAATTTTCAGTGACCATAAGATAGTAATATTATCTTTATTGAGTAGCGGAGAACCATGACTTTTATTGACGCGCGCCCGTTAGTACGCGCACCGAACTGAAGTGAGCGCGTAATAGAGGCAAGCTAGAATAGTCGCGTTCCACACTCTGCCGGAGTTATAGTTTACTTATGTTTTCTCTTCTAACGTAGTCAATTTTCATCCATATATAGTACAATTCATTACCCCGATTTTTTACTCGGAAATTGTATCTGCTCTTTAACAAGTGCAAACTCAAGCTGTCTAACTACTGTAACCAGGAGAAGCAAATCCCCCGCCGATACTTTTTTATTTCTAACATCTAGACGACTTTGATAGTTGTCCACAGTTTAATTTCGAGTAAAAATAGCGTAATGAAATTGTTACATTTATGGTTAAAATTGCTACGTTTGAAGAAAAAATAGTATACTTTATTCGGCAAGAGTTGACAGCGTTTTCTTATGACGTGCCTCTCGATTACGCGTCTCTATCTTCGTTTCGGCGCGTATTATCGGGCACGGTCATAGAAAAGTCATTGCTTCTCGCCATCATAAAGTAATATATCTATTTTTTTTTATTCTATCGACTAATAATCTTTCAATCTATGTAACGGTCCGCATCCTTCACAAAACTTTGGTTCTTCCCTTTTAGGTTTGGTTTCTCTAGATCAAACTTATGTTTGTTTTACAAAGGGATGTTACACTACTAAGCATCAAACTCAGTGGTCAACATGTCTCAAGATTAAAAGTAGATTCCTGGAGGTTTTCTCCAAAATCATCTCCACAAATATAGGAGTGTCTTGCTCGAACAGCCCGATGAGTGGGTGGAACGAGGATAGTTCGCTGAGATTTGCGCGAAGCACCTCTTGCGCATATCAAACTGCCCACTAGCAGCGTAATACCTAGCACGTTTTCTGATAAAAGAATTGAGATAAAAGAGGGTTAAGTACATCACGTAAAACGTGAAATCTCCTAGTATTGTGAAGGACAATATAATCAATTCTTTTAAAATATTTCATGAATATTGTCTGTGTAAAAATTAAATTTTAAAGAGTGTATGATGTGTAAAATTGGATCGTATGCTTGTAAAGTTCCTTTGTGATGTGTACCATATTACCAATGGTGCCCCACCGACCGTACCGTGGTGTATGTCCTCTTGTTTGTTCTACAATATATAATGCCGCGCTGATGAAATTCCTGAGCGGCGAAATGTCTGTCCTCATTTGTTCATATCCTGTATGGTTGAATACTAATATCTATATGTAATGCACGTGGCTAAAGGGTTTCATAGCCAAAGCCATTAAAAAAATAATGTTTGCTGTATTATATGGGGTTGAAAGATTAATTGATTTCCTAGCCTTTTATCAGAGTGTCTTCTGAGCATAATTCCTTTTATGCAATAGGTATTGTTATTTTTCTAGGTGGTTCAGTTTGGTTTTTGTCTTATTCTATAAAATTCATTTCTTTATAAAACGATAAAATGATAGTGTTTTCTTAATAAGAGATTTTCGTGTAGAATAGGGCATTTTAGATCTTATGAATTTTTTTTTTTAACATGTATGTTGTGATACTATACTGATTTTAGTATTTAGAGATATTGTTTTTGTATGGTTTCTTAGGTACATATTCAGTATACTTTTTGTGAGATTAACACATACAGGTAATGGACTGTTAAATTCCTTTTCCACAGTAAATGTTATAGAATAGATTTTTTTTCGTTTATATTCAGCAGATATCTACTCAACAATGTTGATTAAATATAATAAATAAAATTAAAATGTCACAAGAAAATAGCTTTACAATGACTGATTAAATTTAACCCAAAAAGAAAAACTATATAAAATTATATAGGTAAATAATACTTGACTTACATTTTCATAGTATTGAAAAATATACTGTATACTTCTTGGAATAATTCCCCTTTCATCATAATTATTCGCCGAACCAGTCATTGTGTAGGTTTTCCCACTACCAGTCTAAAAGGAATGTGTCTATTGTAGCTCCAAATTTGCTGGCAATTATAAATTGTATGGTACAATTCTATACTACTATTTTAGAATTCTACTATTTATATTCTAATATTAATTTTACCATTCTAAAATAGAAGATACCTACGAAAATCAGTTCTAACAGTGAAGCATTTTTTAATAGATTTGATTAATCTGTCCATACCTGTCCGTATGCAAAAATGGTTCCATTAAATCCTTCCATTACACTGCAATAGAGAAGTATTTAAATATTGCAACGTTCTATTGAACATATCCGTAGATACATTAATATATGAGTACTATATTCAAATGTAGTACTCATATATTAAAAGAGCTATAAAGCTATCAAAGAATAGGAAAGCAACCGGTCCAGATGAAATTTCAAGCGAAATAATCAAACTACTCGACGATAAGGGTAATCATTGCACTATCAGTCTGATTAGTCATGTACTGAAAATTTTCCTAAGAATACTGCACTCGAGAATTTACAACAAAGTGAAACACAATTTGGTTTCAGAAACAACCTTGGAACCAGAGATGCACTTTTCAGTTTACAGGTCATGGTTCAAAGATGTACGGATATCAAACAATCGGTATATATGTGTTTTATCGACTTCGATATTGCCTTTGACCGAGTAAACCATGACAAACTTATAGGTGTCTTACAACAGATGAAAATTGATGACCAAAAACTTCGTATTATCAAAAATTTGTATTGGCATCAATGTGCAAACATACGAAATGGACAAAAAACGACAGAAGCAGTGGAAATACGACATAGAGTGCGGCAAGGATGTATTATATCGCATCTATTTTTTAATATCTACTCCGAATTTATTTTCAAAGAGTCCCTAGTTGAAGATACAGGCATTAAAATCAACGGAATTAATGTCAATAATCTTAGATATGCAGACGACACGGTACTTATTGCCTCAAATGAAGAAGACCTGCAATGGTTTATAAACAGGGTAACCGAAGCATGTGATAAATATGGGCTAAAGCTTAATATTTCTAAGACAAAACGTATGGTTGTCAGCAAAACGGAGTTACAACCAACGAACATCAGAGCGTATGTAATAGAGTTAGATTTAAAGTCCACAACCATAACTGGGATATAAATAAAAAAATAAGAATACGCATTGAAAAAGCCAGAGCCGCCTTCTATAAATTAAAGAAAATTCTAATTAATAGAGATATTACGTTAAACCTTAAAATCAGATTAATACGCTGCTACATATTCTCGACATTTCTGTATGGTATGAAGTGCAGAACCCTTACAGAGACACTGAAAAAATTGGAGACCTTTGAGAATGGATTTATAGACGAGTATTGCGGATAAGTTAGGTTGATCGAATAAGAAAAAAAATACATCCAATGAAAAAGAGCACAGAAATAATAAAAATAAAATAATAGTAATAAAAATAGAGCCGCCGTAAACAAAGTTATTATTGCCAATATGATCATCAACGTTCGATAATCGGATAGGGTACTGCAAGAAGAAGAATAATAAAATATAGGACAAATTTTATTCGAGAAGAAAGGAAAAGGCACAAAAAATTAATGTTTTATCCAAATATCTAATCATAGTTGAAAGTTTTGGCAATTTTATGTTGCAGTTAAGAATTTTAGATGTGACGGTAAAGCATTTGTAACCCTATTTCACAAACTATTAATACAGTTATGACAAGAAAGCGCTTTACTATTGGATTGGATTGGAATATGGCCATCGACTTCTAACTTAATGAAGATGCCCTATACACAAAAAAAGGAAACATTCTTGACTGTTCCAAATTTAGAGGGATTTCCCTTCTTAATACGGCATACAAAATTTTGTTCCTGATACTCAACCAACGATTGGCACAGTATACTGAGAATATAATGGGATCATACCAAAGAGGCTTTTTGAAAAACAGATCTACCATTGACCACATATCATCCATCAAATAAATATTAGAAACAACGACGGAGTACGACATAGACTGCCATGACATCTTCGTAGATTTTAAGGCAGCTTACGATACTGTTGACAGACTCCAATTATATTCGATTATTAAAATGACAACGAGAAAATTTGAATGTAAAGTGCGAGTACAAGGTGATCTTTCAGAACTATTTACAACTAACAGAGGACTGCACCAGAAAGATGTGCTATCATGCACGCTGTTCAATCTAGTGTTAAAAAAAGGTATGAGAGATTCGGGAATAACCTTAACGAGTACGATACATCTTACATACCCGTAGTGTACAAATAATGTCATATGCTGATGTTAAAAGAAAACGCAAGGAAAAAGTTGAAGCAGAAAATATCGGACTTAACCATAACCATAACAGAAAGTACCATTAACATAATTTTAAATAGGCGCACAGCTATAACATATGTTCAAAATTACCTCCCTGAAACGTGACACAAATTGCAACTCTTAGCCTCGTTGGTTGTCGTATTCGTGCAAATATTCCTGGTGTTTTCTTATATATATATATATATATATATATATATATATATATATATATATATATATATATATATATATATATATATACATATATATACATTTTATATATATATACATATATATATATATATATATATATATATATATATATATATAATATATATATATGTTTCAGTTCAGTTGGCTGAAACTTTTCAGACAGATAGTTTTGGTTATGCTGATCAAAAGTTCTTAGTACCCCAAAACTCTACCTCATGTACCTCAGTAAAATCAGTAAAATCTACCTCAGAAAGTTTCCGCCAATTTAACTGAAACCAATTTTACATAAGAAAAATGCCAGAGTGCTTTGACTATAAACGCGAATATGTTTTCGATTGTCTTAAGACATTTAGTCGATTTTATATGTTAAGAACATATTAGGGGTATAAAAAACTTCCATGACTTTACTCCGTTAGACATTACAAAAACTATATGAAACTTACCTTGTAATTGCAGGCTTTGCGACTGTATCGAATATGTCACCTTGTAATGAATTTACATTGAATACTTTATGAAACCTAAAATAAACTTTTTATTATTTGAGATTTTATTTGGCCTGTAAATTAGAAACAATAAAAATTGCACATTTTAATTATTTTAACATCGTTAATCATGCAATTTCTATTGACAAAATTTGAATATCCAAGAACACATAAGGCAATTTGGCGATATCCATCTGGAGGTAGTGAACAATTTAATTGACCAAATAGCAATAAAAGAATTAGTTCGAAAAATACTAGACACAAGATCTTACAGACGAACAAACGCAAACATTTAAGTGGTGTAAAATCAATGGAGGCAATCAACACTTTTTCTTGTTTTGAGGACGCCACACGTGGTTAGATTTGTCGTTACATTGTGCCATTATAATTTGTTTTAGTTTTGGGAGTGGTAACGTTGCATTTGTGCTTTTCCTAAACTATATTTGTGTCTTAGAAATTAGTTTTATATACAGAAAAAGTATTAATTTTTTATCATGGAAGTTAATGCGTCTCCTCTCACACCAACAAAAGCAAGGAAACGAATAAGACAACCTGAAAAATGGAAGAAAACGTTGCAAAACGTCTAAGGTGAGTACTTTTGTGAATGTTATGATTTCATTTCCAAGCCGTTGTTGAATTGATATTTTGTTTTTCGTTTTTGTTAAAATTTTAACCAATTTCAGTACTTATGCTCATAATTATTTTTTGTTGTCGATATTCTGCGAAGAATATGCCAGAATACCCAACATGTTGTCACAATTCAAAAACATATTATAAGTGCTGCTTGCTGAAAATAAATGACATACAGAAATTTCATAGCTTATTCTACGAGACCAAAGACAAAGCGACTCAGGATACTTTATTTTGAAGTACTGCACTGTAAACCTTACTGTCCGTCGTCGGCCGAAAAATGAAAAGTATTCTCCAAAAAAGGACCAGATAAAATATTTCATTCGTAATTTTTTATCCAAGGAGAAAGTCCAGTGTGCCAAGCAGCTTTTTTCAACGTGCTAGGGATAATAAAACAAGGGCTTTCCTATGTGATAAATTGATTTAATGAAACAGTTCAAGTGCCTATTGAACGCAGAGGTGGTGATCGAAAAACTGAGAAATATCGGAATAAGCTGGAAGGAGTGCAAAAGCTTATAAACTAATTAATATGTACTGAATCCCATTACTGCCGTTCTGTGACGAAATGAATGTGTCTTCCATCTGAACTCAGCGTCTCAAAATTGTATTTAATATACACTGCTCGGACAATTACATCGGAAACTCTGAAGACATCGTATTTTCGCTATATACTTAACAGAAAATATAATTTGAGCTTTAAAACTCCAAGAACAGACGTTTGCTCAAAATGTTTAGATTAAACACGAAACATTAAATACGAAAAAAATCAGCAATTTAAAATTAAACTAATGACTAAAAACGGCTCCCCAAACTTCGAGCATAAGCATTTTCCAATCTCTCCAAGAAAACAGAGGAATCATTTTATCGTTGACTCTCAAAAAAATTTGGTCCTCCCCAAAGTTGGCAGCTTTATTTTTGTAACTTTATTGTTGTTTCAAAGTCTCCACTTTCAAAGGGAAATGTATTTTAATACTGTTGGACTGGGGACATGTTTGGCAAAAGATCAAACGAAATTTCCTCCTGCAGTCGTTCATGGACTCAATGACACTGATTTTGGCAACATATAAAAGAAGGTACGACTTGTCGCCTATGAATGCAGTGGCCAAAATAAAAACTCAATAATGATTGGTATGTGTTGCAAATGGCTAGTCGAGAGCGCACCACCCATTCAATTATTGAGTTAATTTTTCCTGTAGTTGGTCGCTCATTATTACCATCCGATGGAGTTTTCGGTCAAATTGAGAAGAATTTCCGAAAACGAGAAGTCGTAACGACACCTAGCGAATACAAGGAAATTATTTCCAAATTTTCTACGGTCGTTGCTATGAAACAAAACTGTGTTTACGATTGGAAGTCTGGTGTTCATGAGGTTCTTAAACCAGTAGGAGCATGGGGTTTTCCGTTTAAGGAATGCAAAAGGTATATTGTAAAACGATGTAGGATAGAAAATGTTAATACGAGATGAACTTTATTACAAAAACGATTTCGGATATTTGGAAATATCACACGAAAAGGCAAACAGATTAGCATGATCAATACAGAAAAACGTATCCCCGATGCTCAAAAAGTAAATAATTGCGTAACAAAACTGCGTGATGTACGAAATTTTTGACCAAACATTTTGTTTAGACTTTTGTTTAGACTGGATCAGCTTAACTAGTATAAAGAGCTTTTTCAGCGTTATGAAAAAGATGCAAACGAAAACTACTTGGAGAATCCTGTTCCAAAGTTACAGTCTATCGAAACCTGTGAATATATACCCGAACTTCCGGATATATTACTTTTTTTTTAATGGCCTTGGCATAGCCAATTGGCCAGACTGTTTTGTATTTGTATTCAGAGAACAACAATCAGAGTTCGAGTTAGTACTAAATGTAAGTTAAAAGTAAATTAAATAATTGATTTGTTAGGACTGTTCTTTTTTGTTTGTGATTTTTTTTATTTTTTTATTTATTTTTTTTATTTTATTTTTTTTATTTCCTTGTATTACTTTTTCGATATTGTATGTCATATGTATATATATTTTTTATTTTGTTTTGGTCTTTTTTTATATTAATTTTGTTTTGCATAAATATATATTTTTTATTTATTTGTTTTTTTTTTGTTTTTTTTCTATTTTTTTTTTCATTTTTTCGTATTAAAATGTTTCTTACATGATTGATATGTTCGCAAATTGCTTACAAGTTTTATCTTAATTCTAGGGTTAGTTCATTACATTGTTTAAAGTTTATATTTACAATTTCTTATTAACTGATAAATACAATTAAAGATTTCTAAGTTTTCTGGATTTTCCAGACAAAATTAATTCATTTATGTAAAATGGGAAACAGACATTTAGCTTTCTTAAGTTTTCATAAAAACATGTAATATTTCCTTGTTGGTTTACACATTCTAATAGGATATGTGTTAAATCTCCATATTTACCACAAGTACAGTTTGGAGTGTCTGCTAGATCCATTTTGTACATTCTTGAAGGTGTTAGAGCATGATTTGACCTTAGCCTAATAAAACTTCTGTTGGACTCTGAATAAAACCACCTTTTTTTAAGAAGTGTGGGTGGCCAATATTTAAATGGTGAGCCGATGTTTACTATATACAACTATATCTGACACCGGTAGAATATTGTTGTCTATGGTTTCTCCGCTTGAGATATTTTACTTTAGGTGATATGTATATAATTTTTTTAGATATTAAATTATTATTCAATATCAAACTATATTTTTTTACTAAGTAACACACTTAATGATGTTTTATTAGTTTTAAAACTAGCAATATACTTATAGATCATTTTCATGTCCGTCAAACTCCAAAGATTGCAAACAAAAATGGCTATATCCAAACTAAAATATTGGAAAAAAAGGAAAAGAAATAATTTCTTAATCTCCTCTTTCCGGACATCCAATCAAAAAATAAATTTTATATCATTCTTCACCAGTTTTATTGTTTTATTGTTTTTTATTGTATTTTGTTAGTTTCTACAGTTTTTCGCTCTTTTCAAAAATTATGGAACTGGGAGATTTGCCGACTTGGTTTTGTACATACACTCCTCCTTCCACGGTATTCATTAGTACTTCTTCGTTCTTCTTCTTCGTCTAGCCTTTCACGTCCACATCAGAACATTATGCCGCTCATTACTTCCGTTCCATTGGTGTTAGTGTATCCGATCTGTTAGCTATTTTTCTTGCGCCGCTCAGTCCTTTTCAGAGCATCTGTCCATCTCATAGGAGGTCTGCCTCTGGGTCTTTTGTGTTGGTATGGTCTCCAGGTTAAAATTGATCTGTGCCATTTGTTTAGATCGCTCCTAGCTACATGTCCAGCGTATTCCCATTTCAACTTTAATGATTTTTGCACCACATCGGTGACTTTGGTTTTCTGTCTTATCCATGTGTTTGTTTTCTTGTCCTTAAGTGATATACCTAGCATTGCTCTTTCCATCGCGTGTTGAGTGACTCTAAGTATATTCATATTTTTTTGTGATTGTCCATGTTTGTGCCGCATAAGTTAATATCGGAATAATGCATGCATCAAAAACTTTAGATCTAAGATGTAATTTGAATTTGTTGATTTCTGAGTATATAGTTCAGTTTACCGAATGCTGCCCAAGCTAACTTTCTTCTTCTTTTTATTTCTTCAGTTTGAATTTCCTATTTAGGATTATTTTTTGTCCTAAGTATATATATTCTTCAACTTTTTCTATAACTTTATCGTTTATTATTGTCACGGTGTCTTCGGAGTGCATGACTTTTGTTTTGTTTAAATTCATTTTCAGTCCTATTTTAGAAGATTCGTGTTGTGTTCTAAAAGCTTGGTTTGCATTTCTTGTAGGTCAGTAGCTATCAGGATTATGTCATCTGCAAATCGTAGATTACTGAGGTAGCGGCCATTGATGTTTATTCCTTATATTTCCAATTTAGGTTTTTAAAAACGTCCTCCAAAACTAAGGTGATCAGTTTGGGGTGATAATGTAATTTCTCCTGTTGGGCTCCCCTGTTTAATTGGAGGTGCACAGGTTCGTGTGGTTTATTTCCATTTAGGTAGTATGTAGTTTAGCTTGGTCATAGTTTCTTTTATTAAGTTAATATATCTGCTGTCTATTCTACAATTTTTGCATTGCCGTTTATTTACGCCAGTGTGTGTTCTATGTATCGAAACTTTTTTCGTAGTCTACAAATGCTAGGAAAACTGGAAACTTTATTCGTTTAATTTTTTGTATAATATTGTTTGTGGTTAACAGGTGATCGGAAGTTGAATAGCCTTTCTAAAACCTGTCTGTTTGTATGGTTGGTATTCGTCTAGTTTCCTTGTTGTCGAGTAGTTAGGACCTTGAGGAGATTTTAAACAGGTGTGACAGTACCTGATGGGTCTGTAGTTTTCCAATTTTCGACTATCTACCTTCTTGTGTAGATAGGATTACTTTAGGAGTTGTTCCAGACTTTAGGACTTTTACCTGATGTAAACAACTATCCACAGCTTAGTTACAATTGCATATTTAGTTCCTTACCGCCTTCAATATCATAGCTGTGGTAATACTACTATTTCTCCGCAGCTTTTATTTCTCTCATGTTTTTCCAAGCTGTAGTTACCTCTGAAATTTTACTTTTTGGGCATTATTTCTGATCCAACATTTTTTATTAATTTCCGTGTGGTCTCATCTCATCATCTGTTGATGATTGATCTGTAAAGTTCTGTGTAATATTCTTTCTTTTCGTGGTCAGTATGGTTTCTTCACTTGTTAATTCATTTTCGCTTTTTCCATTAATGATGTCATCTGACGTCGTCCTAAGGTCGGTCTGAGGCATTTCATACTCTTATTTTTTTCAATAGTTGTTGTATTTAATTTTTGTTCTCTTTTCTATTTGGTTGTGCTGAATTTTCCTATCTGCCTATTAAGTCCTTATATTCGTCGGTTCCCTTTTGTTAGATTGTTATAGGATTACACCTTTCCTTCTTTCTATTTCTGGGTTAATATTCTTTGTCTACATTCTTTGTATGTTGTTTCTTTCTGGTTATTTTTTCAGTTCTGCAGAAGGCTTTTATTCACTGGTTCTCGGTAATAAGGTTATTCAAATTCATCACAATATCATTTGGAGGTTATCTGCTTGCAGATGCCTATCTGGATTGTATTTGCTATTGAGCACTATCGTTTTTAGTTAAATTTCGATATTTTTATTTTCTGTCAGTGAAGTCCATTTGGAGCGTTTATTTTCCTGTACTTTTTTTTCTTTCTATGTTTTTTGTAATTAGTTGGTTTTGCTCTTCTAACTTAGTCTAATGATCGCGTCCCTAGGTTCAAACTGATTTAATACGGATACCGCTCTTCTACTAGGTTGTCTATGTCGTGCGTTAAGATATATATATATCAGGACACTGTAAAAGTTAAACATACTCTAATGACCTCGCAGGACACAAACATTGACGCATTAGAATAAGCATCTGAAGTCTAGAATGAGAAACATGGTTAAGAAAGCTACATGAATGGCACGGGATCCAATCGTACCACACGAAACTTACAACATAAACGAAAGAAAGATGGCCGTCAAAAAATTTTTAAAAAGCAAAGTAAGCATGATACAGCGTAGTGTATTATCACAAATTTCGAGATAGAATGACAATGTAGTCATACACAATCCGATCCAGAAAAAACACGAGGATAATAGAGAAAGAACGAGAAAATAAGCGCAATACGATCATTAATAAAGAAGAGAAGATAGGACGAGTAAATAAAATTAATCCAATTAATTACATGATGTAGTATAAACGACTGTGGATTTTGAAAGAGGCCAATTATAAATAACAACAAATTCTCACAAAAAAACGTCAAGGTAAAAAAGATAATCCCAAATTAATAGAATTAAAGAACCAAAAAAGGGAAAACGAATTCGGATCAAATCTACAGAATATGTCTCATATAATATGTAAGTCTCATAGAAGAATACAAAAAGAAAATAAAAACCTCCGAAACGGAAAAACGGAGGAAGAGGAGTTAGCGCAGAGTTATTAAAATAAGGAAAAATACAATTATACTAAAAACCCAAAACTCGTAATACAAGAAATTGTCCAAAATTAATAACCAGACAGATAATAATAACTGAATTTTATAAACTTAAAGGATACTTTCCTGAATCCAGATATATTGTTTAAAGTACATCTTGAGCTTAAATAAAATGTTAAATCTTCAAAATCTTCTTTATTCGTTGTAATATCGTAAGGAACCTGAAAATAGAATCAACTTTTATTCAATAGTAGTATTGTAGCACCATTTAAAAAATGGTAATTAAAAAAGGTTATTAATTTGATTTATAAATAACGAAGATGTGATTACATCTAGTACTCATACTTCATATTTCTCAACAATTTTCTACCAGATTTTTCCTCTTATTTCTTACCTCTGTACGATCACCAAAAAGTAGAGCATATCTCTGCTCGCCATTTCCTGTCGTATTCCTGTTAACTTCCTCCATCTTGTGACCCTTAGAATCGTACTTGGTTCTTCTTCACAACATTCATAATATCCATTTCGTTCGTGGTTTGCCCTCTACTTCTTGTACGCCCTCGGTTGTGCGAAAATGTTAATCTCGTCGTATACTCGTGATCTACATTCTTAGCATGTGTCCAGCCATCTAACTGCACTTTAACGATTTTGGCAATATATGGATTGGTGTATACTGATATAGTTCAAAGTGTATCTTCGACGCCATATGCCCCATTTTCATTTACGGCCCAAAAATCGCTCTAAGAATTTTTTCTCTCAAAAATACCAATGAAGTCTTTTTATCATTTTGAGATAAGGTCCGACGTTTCAGCCTAATAATATCAAACCGTGTCTTATTAAGGTCTTGTAATATACTGAACTTTATGCATTCTTTATCCTTTGATTATTTAAATGTTTCTGTAGACCGGTGACATCTTCTAGCACCAGATAAACCTGTAAGACACGCCCTTGTACCAGCGAACCGTTGAAGCTTAGGACCCTCCGCGAATGCGGTGGACGTCACATGAGCGGCAAGAGCCCGCTTGGATTCTTATGCAGAGCACTAGTAATAAGTTCCCCATGAATTTTAGATTAATTTTAATATAACTTCAATATTTTTGTAAAAAATATGGAAGATAAATTATTTAGCAAAGTAATTACTAAATATTTTTGCCTTAAATTGTAAAAATAATGTTTTATTTGAAAGTACATACCTACTATATTATTATTATATCGTTGGTAATATCACTTTCTTGTTTTGATATTCAGAAATAAATTTAAAGGAGAATAATTTTCTTTTGGGTGGAGTTTCAGGATAGGTAAAAAAATATGTAGGAAATCTATTAATTTATTGACCACAAAACAAAATAGCTTTTGTTAACTTACTTCTAATCTTATTACATTATTTAGTTTTTCACCTTCGTGGTACAATCTAATGTTGCAATAATGGGAACACAACATTCTATTATTAGATAAACAAATGGTTTTGTTTACAAATTCATGATCAAACTATTGTTCTTTGTATGCGTTAACACACGAACCATTGCACGTTACTCATGACATTTAAGATCAATTTTGTCATTATTTTGGAATCGTTTAATTTTTTTTGAATTGTACATAAAATTTAATTTCGATTTCAGCAATTTGTCAAATATGAAATGACGTTTTTAGAAAGTTGAATATAAAAATCTTTTTGACATGCTATATTTTTGTGTCTTATGAATGGAGATTGTAAATTATCACATTCAATTGCACACAAACATATGTCACAATCTCATGTTTTCTCTAACGACAAACCCAGCGATATAGTCAAAACATCATACAATACATAAGATGACAATGTTCTTGAAAAACTTAAAATATTTACAGGTATAATCCTGACTGGTAAGTTATAGTTATTGTTCCCTATTATTTTCATCAGTTATCAACAGTGTCATGTCGTTGATGATGAACAGTTTTCAGTTTCACAGTATTGCTAATTTGATGTGTCATTGCTAATATTATGGAAGGTGCTGTTTTCTATACAATTAGCCTGGGGTAGATCTGTAACACTTGTTGTGCATTAATAGTCTTTTTATATTGCAGCTTTAAAAATGTGTTTTGCCGTTAGGTTGTTGTTGTACCTCCAGGATCTTCCTAATAGACTAAAGAAAACTTCTAAGAGATCTTCGAGAAAGTTTTATAGGCCGACAAGATACTTAGACCTCCATCCATATCCTCCACGTAATTTTCAAATTCCATTAGTGATTTTAAAACTAATGTCATACCAATAAAACCCGTCTTTCTTGGCTTAGATCTAGGGGTTCACCATTTCTGGAACACTTAAGTGGAACTAAATTATTTTATAGAATTCTTCGTTTTTGAAAAAATCGCTGTTTTTTATGATGCTGTAAACTAGATTTTAGGTGTTTTGCCAATAAATTTCGTCTATTTAAATATCAAAAATAGCATTGATATGTTCAATGAAATTTTGAGTAGCTTACGCTATGTACAAATTCTTTGATTGTAATTTCTCAAATAATGTATTCCTTAGCAACTTTTTGGGCTGAACGTTTGGGCAGACTGAATTTCAGTTATCATTTTTTCCTTATAACCGAATTTATAATGCCTTCGCGTTTACCTAGTTCCAAGATAAAGGCCTTCCTTTTCATGAATGTCTACTAATTTTTGCAAATATTCCCTTTAATCGCTTTATTATTCCCGTCAAAAAAAAATTTGTATAATTTAAACTAAAGTATTGCGCAATAAGTTTCAACATATGTGGAAGGGTCAAACATTACATATATTGGTATGATTTAGTTGCTGGATGTAGAAAAATTATGCTTTATTGGAATTCAATCGATAATCAACTACCAAGTTGTTTAACCATGCTATATTGAGATGCTGCACCCATCAATGTTAGACTGGTAATTGTGACATCACCTTCGTTGCATTATTTTTAAGCACATTTTATCTAATTACTTTTTTGAACACACTGATAACCCAGCGATTAAAAGTATCCTATCGCAGCTTCCATGAATCATTTAAACATTAATTAGAATACAATTGCTTCTTTTGCTTTAATTTCGGAAGAATCGCTTTGAGGTCTTACTATCCTATGTCAATCATACCTAAAATTATTGATTTCAATTTAATTAAATAGAATAAATATAGATGTTATTGATACTTTTTTTATTATGCTAATAAATATTAAGCTACACATTACCCTAAACAAGTTTTCACCATCCCATTCTTTTTTCTGGTTGTACAGACATTTTCATCGACCAATCAATAGCACATATACATGTTTTTCCTTTATTTCTAAGTTCAACTACTTTTTGTTTTAATACATTCACTGCTTCTTTTCAGTCTAATTATAAAAATACAAATTATATATATAGGGAACAAAAAGTAAAATAATAGGTGCTAAATTTCTGGTATGTTTTTCTCAGTTTTAATTTGTGAATTAACTTACCCGTGAAATGAATATATCTGTCCCTTTTTTGTCGTCTGCGTACAATTAAATGCACTGCAAGATGCCACCCATAATTACTAATATTAATGTATTGAAAAATTTTAAATTTAAACACACTTTAGAAACGTTACAACGCGTATTAAACACTACTAATCTCTACGGTTTTCTGCCTCAAAACTGACGTCACCCACAGCTTGTCTGAATCGTTTTTATGTTGGCTTTCAACTCCTCGAGAGGGAGAATGGAGAATAGCATTATACGGCGCGTCTATCAGTTTTTATGGTCTAAGTGACCTCTGTGAACAGTTCTGTTTGCTATTGCTATACGTCTTTTTATTTCATCGCTTGTCGTGTTTGTTGCGTTTACTAGCGATCCAAGAGATGTGAATTCCTTGACTTGCTCAAAGGTATGGTTGTTAATTTAAATTTTCTGTTGGATATTTCGGGGGTTTTACAAACCAATATATATTTGGTTTTTTCCCCGTTTACCACAAGTCCTACTTTACTTTCTGCGTCCGCAAGCCTTACAATACACTGCACCATGTCTCTCATACTTCTGCCCACTATAACTAGGTATATCGTCAGCAAATGCAGAAAAATAGTTCCATTTATTTCTAATATTAAAGTGTGTGTGATTAATGCCCATTATTATGTCAAAGAACGTAGATAGTTGATCCTTTAATTCAAACGCATGAGCTTACGTTTTGCATTGTTGCTTGGGTCAACTTAACTAACTTAGGTGAGATCCCAAAGTCTGTCATTGAATTATATATGCAGTTTCTTTTCACACTGTCAGCGGCTGTTGATATCGACGAAGAGATGGTGTGTACTATGTATATATTTCTAGATGACTTTTCTAGAATCTTGTCTATGTGCTTGAATTTGATGTGTAGTTTGATTTTCCAGCAGTAAATCCGTATTAATATTGACCAACAATATCCTTTGTAAAATGTAAGTCTTTCAAAAATACATTGACGAAGATTTTATACGCACATGCTTAACAGAGTAATGGCATCTATAGTTCTGACACTCCAGTTGATCACCCTTTTTATGCAACCGACATAATATTCGCTTTAGCTACTCTTCTGGTACCAATTCATCCTACCATATAGTATTATAGTTTAATGGATTGCTGCAAAAAGTTAGACCACCACCTTTGTTATAACATTTTAGAAATAATTTCATCGATTTCTGGGGTTTTATTGTCTTTGAATTTTAGGATGGCATTTGACACTTCTTCTCTTGTTGGTATTCACTGTGTCGACGTTGTAGATTTGTTGATTGTTCTATGTTGTAACCTCCTTCAATAGCGTTTATATTTAGATGTTCACTGAAATGTTGTGCCCATCGTTAAGAACTGAGTTTTTATCATTAGAATTTTCACGTTAGTCTTTACCAAATTTTTAATCGAGGTTAAATTCTTGACGGCTATTATTTAAGGATTTGTAGTATTACTTCGTTTCATTTTTGTCGAATAATTTTTGTATCTTATTGAAAGTGTTCTGTTCGTATTCCCTTTTTTTACGTGGATGGATACGTTTTTCCTTTCTTCTAAGACATCTATACTCTTCTTATTTTCTCCATGTACAACCTGCGTAGATGGTTTTTTGATATGCTGTATTCTTTCTATTTATAGTCATTTCACCCTTATGATCAAATCAATGATTTCTTTTTTCTGACTTGGTTTTGCCCAATATATCAATCGATTTCTGTAACACAATATTGAGTATATTTGATGCAAGTTGGTTGTTGTCTGCTTCTTCTTCCAAGTTTTCTGTGCTTATTTGATCTTCTATTTGCTGTCTGTATACATTTGCAATCTTTTAGTTTATTAATGTCGATTTTTTCTCTTTTTTTTTCCGATCTCCTTTTTTAAATTGGATATTCTCTATTTAAATCGTGCTTTAACTAAATAGTGATCACTTTATATCTTTGCTTCTCTAAAAGAACTAACATCTAATAAGTTAGAGCAGTGTCTTGCATCGATGATTATATTACCTCGTGTGTGGTAAATATTCTGCATGTTGTTCACTAGTTACTCATTTGCTTGACGTTTAGTCCAAGAATTATTCTACACGTTAAAAAGCTTTTAATAAATTGTTAATTATTAAGCATCTGTTATTTTAAACACAGTTGCTATATGTACTACCTATGGTTCTCTATTAAACTTTCCTGAGTTATCAAGGTATTTATTCTAGTGCATTTTAATATTCTTTACATTTTTATTCTATTTCGTTTCCCAGTATATTATATATAATCTTTATTTTCTCTCGATATTTAAACTTTTTAACAGACCGTACTAATTAGTGGTAGTAAATTATAATTGTTCTTACCGAGGGTTTTTCTTCAAATCCTTTCTTTACTCTAGCATAAACCTTAATCGATTGATTCACCATTTCAATGTCTGACCAGTTAGAATTCACATTTTAATTTTTGTATCAATGTCAACCTAAATAATTAAATTGACTCAATGACACATTGTCAAAAATCAACGTTAATGAATAGACTCAATTATATTATTTAAACTTTTTAAACTTACTATTGATTTAAATTATGTCTGTTTTCCATACATTTTGGCGCATCTGTTAGTTTATATGGTTCAATAGTTTTGCGATTGTGATGACGTTTAGTATTTAAGGCAATTATTAAAATTACCATTTTTATTTCCAGATGCTACGAAACAAAAAAATCTTTGAGTCTTACATCTAGTAAGGAAGATTTACAAAAGCCACTGTATTCAATCAGAAATGACGGCAAAAAATAAGGAAAACGGGAAGAGCTTGTCAAACTCTCGTGATTTTATAAAAAAAAGATTAACAAGTTTGCACACGCCATCCCGCTTAGGTCACACAGCTGTATTTTTTAGATAAAGTCGGACAAAAGAAATAGGAGGAGTAATGTATTAACGCTTCGGCCGCTCTAAAATTATTTGTATGGCTATCATCTAAAGAATTTAGATGATTGGTAGGACAGTATGCTGGTGAGAGTAAAATAATAGAAGCGGGAATATTAATAAATAAAAGAGTAGCGGTTTAACGGCAAATATTGGTCATGTGGGGCTATATAAACAGGTTCCTTCTGCTGGGTATGGTCTTAATTTGTGTGTATTCGTTTACGACAAACGAAGCTGTGGGAAAATCATGCCTGAAAAAATGGTTTATGTCTTCCGATAATGGACTGCACATAATGACGATAAGATAAACACATATTGTATAGTCGGACTGCAGAGAAATTAGTCACAGATCCTGAATCACTGACCCTTGCAGTATAATAAAATTTAATAAAAAACACATTAGGTGAACAAATAATTTTGGAGTTTCGAATTTTTGGATATTCACGAAGATATAGCAGTTATAATTTGGTCAGAGGCGTTTTGTGTTACTTTAAAATTTGGCGAGAAGCGCGTGTTCAATTTTTAAAAAGCTTTGAGCAACACTCACTAATCTGTCGCCAGTAACGTTAGTATATTACTAATTGCATAGCTGTTAAAAACTTTCATCTGTATAATGATGTGATCAAATGTTTGTGTTAGAGTTGGGGACTCTTTACTCAGTCGAGAAAACGGTTTAAGTGGGTTACCGCAAGGATCATGTTTTGGGCCCACTTTTTTTCATAACATACTCAAGTGATCTACAATTTCACATTAAATGCAACAAATGTGCACAAATGGTGTAGTATCTTCACATGCGTAAAAATAATTCCGTGTCTTCCTTACTCAATTTATGGGCGAGTGTTAAAAACAGTAAAAATTCACATAATGATCTAGGTGTTTAATTTAATAACAATCTAAGTTGGTCGCGAACAAATTTGCATATTTCTAAAAAAGCTAACAGTAAATTATATCTACTAAATAAAACTTTGCGAAGTGTCATTTATGAGCTCAGTTCATCTGTATAAACTGTACATTCGTCCAGTTCTGGATAATTGCGGAACTGTTTGGGTGTCCGGTATTATAGTGCGCGATTGTGATTTTCTCGAAAACGTACAGCGACAGTGCAGTAGGATGTCTTTTGGTCGATCAAAACCTACGGATACAGAAACTCTGAATATGGACCAATCTCACTACATTTAAAACAACATCGCACTTCGAGGCGATTTAATTATTACGTTTCGGTTAGTAAAATACAACTTTGGAAATGTGGGGGATATGTTTATACTAGGACAATGACAATCGTCTTCGTGGCCACAAACTTAAGTTTAAAAAAGAACTTTTTTACAACAACTAGACAATTTTTTTCTTGTAATCGAGTGTTCTCGATATGGAATAGCCTTCCGGCTGAGATCTAGATCCATCTGTCAATATTTTTAAAATTAAACTGGATGACCATTTGCTCCATAGTTGAACATTTAATTTGTACTAAACATTTGCTATTACCAATCTTTTGTGATATTTAATTAGTTAGTTAGTGCTTAATATGTAACTATTGTAATGTAAACATTTAATTGCACATTATATAACATTGTATTCACATGGACAATATGGGTTTTGCGACCCCTGCTCAAATTTATTGTAAAATAAATAAATAAAAATAAATAAATCAAAGATATAGACGCACCTATGCGTATTGCATACAGTCTTAAATATGCGGGATTGCATTAAATTTATAACCATATTAAATTAAAGCAAAGTAAATAAGTTGTGTAGTGATTTGGCGAGTTTTTACCTGGTTAATTCTTTAAACTTTTCTCGTTTTCCTGTGCCGGGCAAATGCCTTTTTTTGAAAAATAAATTTCTTTCTAAGGACATATTTGCTTTTCGTTTATACTCTTTTAGGGACACTACTACTTCTTACTTTCGTATAGGTAACTATTTTAATATTTTTCGAAGTTCCAAAATTGGAAAATGTTTCGAATTGTACGTATAAACAAAGAATTAAACTTTGAATGGAAGCTCTTGCATGCATTCGTCCTTTTTTTAGAGACTTACTATTCTTGGCCTACATGATATGGCGATGTAATTCTCCACAAGAAATCTGCAAATGTTTGGGTAAGATTGCTCCAAAATTAACCGCAAAACAATCGCTTACATCTTCGTAGTCCAGAAAAGAAAGACCAAACATGTAATTTAAATAACACGAAATATCTGATATTTTCGAATATTCCGTTGCTAAGTCCGGTTTCTGAATCATTCGCCACTTGTTTTTATAATTTAAGTAAAATTCACATAGACTAAAAATTGATTAATAAATTTACCAGCCCTCTCCAAGGTGAACACGGCGTCCTTTCAAATCAGAATTTGGTAAAACTTGGCTAACTGCCTCGGCCCGGTCAAAAATTATGCTTCCACTCGTACACTTCTCTTTCATGAACACATATAACGTAGAAAACGGTTTCCTTTTTGGGAAGCAAAACACATACAGGAGGTACGTAGTGTTTCACTGCCCGTGAAACAGTAAACATTTGTTAAAAATACTTCGAGCAGTATTTGGCGGATTCATCCACTTTGGTTTTTAGATTGCACAAAAATTTTTAAATTTGTCCTAAAATAAAACACCACAAAATTGGTGTTCCAATCGTTCTTTAACAGAAACACTGTTTTTTTTGCCGTATTTCCAGATTCCAGTAAGAGCCTAAGAAGGTATCCACAGAAGGTATAGAAGCACTGTTCTACCTCATTTGTCGTTGTTTCCAATTGCATTTAGCACTTCATGCACTTCCAATTACATCATTAGTAGTTTCGGTAACACCTTCCATCCGACTATAATACATGCAGTTTTCCTTATCGGACGTACATAATTCACAGGTAACCGTTTTTTAGTGTCAGAACTGTTCACTTCTTTGTAAAGAAGTCTTATGGATTTCTTCCAATATCTTCAATGAACTGTTGGAGTTTTTGGCGGTTTAGCGTTCCCAGACTGCTGCTCCATGGTTCTGCTTACCACCGAAGCTTAGCACTATGTACGGTGAGGTAAATTTTCATTTTACATACGACTTACATCCCCGGTGTGCACACTGCCATCGCTTCAATTCTCCAGACAATAACTTGTGGAAATATATTTAAAAACTGTAAACTAATTTTCGAAACCATATTCAGATTTTTTGCTTTAATATGTGCCTTCTAAGAATTTGCAAGGCAATACAGTACGTTTGATAAAGATGGTATTAGAGACATGGGGAATCTAAAAATTTGCATTCCACGACATATCTCCTCAACTAAGCAAAAATCCTTAGCGAATTGGTTTCGATGTCGTTATTTGCGTCCATTCGAAGCCATGTTAGAGTTGCTTCCTAAGACAGAAGAGATTTATTTTCACGTTCAGAGCGACTGTGAATTGCCGTTCTGACGAGGCCTATTAGGCCGAAATACGTATAAGCGGATACACAGACGCACTATACGTGAAATCAAATCTTAACTGTCTTTTTCTTTTATTCCGATATACTCTGTACGAGTACTAGAAACCAATTCGCTAAGGATTTTTGCTTAGTTGAGGAGATATGTTGTGGAATGCAAATTTTAGATTCCCCATGTCTCTAATAACATCTTTATCAACGTCTGTTTTGCCTTGCAATTCTTAGAAGGCACAGATTAAAGCAAAAATCTGAATTTGGTTTCGAAAATTAGTTTACGGATTTAATATCAGATGTCGCTATTTGCGTCTATTCGAAGCCATCTTAGAGTTGCTTCCTAAGACAGAAGAGATTTATTTTCACATTCAGAGCGACTGTGAATTGCCGTTCTGAAGAGCCCTATTAGTGCAGAAATACGTATAAGCGGATGCACAGACGTCACTATACGTGAAATCAAATCTCAACTGTATTTTCCTTATTTTTAAAGCTGTTCACCACTAGCATAGGGTTTCCCGTTCCCCCTTAATATTTCTGTAGTTTTGCATTTTCTAAGACGATATGATCATGTAAACGAAATTAAAAGCATGATAGAAAAAAAGTGGCCACTAACAATAAAATCCATCATCTACTTCATCAGGAAGTCATTTCTCGCAAAGTGTTTTTTTTGCGAGAAGGTAATTGCTTCCCGAATAGCAAATTTACTTACGATCGTGAGCCAGTTCATATCGCACCCGTGCCTTTCTTCAATTTCCTGGAATGTAAATTAAATTTCATTTAGATTATATGTTTTATATTTGACCATTTCCTGTAAGTCACTTTTCTTTGGCATTTTTAACTTTCTTTCTGCCCCATTTTTTTTTATTGATGTTCCAATATTAAATTTCTTCGTATGGATCTTGGCATTTTGAACTTACTACCTAAATATATTTAATGAACGTTTATAAAACCAGATGTACGAAAAAAAGGATACATAACTTAAAAAAAAACTAATAAAAATTGCTCATTTTTTTATTAACCAAAATTTACAATATTAATTATGTACTCAACTCAGTACATATTATAATTATCTACAAACAAAAATTTTACGACCATAACTGTCTTCTCAAGACCTTGCTGACACTATATGATTACATAGTAATAAAAACACATATCATTATTAAAGGGATA